GCAAGATATACAGTGTGTATAACAGAGCAGAATACAGAGCTAGAAGTAATGAGTTTGCCGTTCCTCTTAGTCACATAGTCAGAGAATGAGATGAGGAGATGTCAGCTGCCGCCACAGGCTCCCAGTCTCCACCGACATCCCTGCAGTTAATAATAATCAGTCCTTGCACACAGCTTCATTTGTCATGCAATCTTTTTTCTGCAGGTAGAAATCTTTATTAAGGGCTAATTATACCATTAAAAAATAATTATAGGGAAATAATAGACCCTGGCAGCCTTCACCACAATATCAGTCACTTTCAATGCAAATATCTGAAGGGGTCTCATTTTCTCTCTGAGCCCCTCTCATCAATATGCTCCGTGCTTATTTCTCACACAGTCCCAACTCCCACCGCTTTCTAAGAAAAGAACCAATTACTGCAAAAAAAAGCAAGTAAATTGCTTCCACATGAAGTGAAACGCTTCAATATTCAGCAACACGCTCAGAGTTTCAGCACACGTTCCTCCAGCGAGGCGAAACAAACTCATCATAAATTCACTCTCCTGAAATATTCTGCGTTCATATTCCACAACACAAAGGCAGACATTATAGATGATTATTAAATTCATTTTCACTGCTTTTGCTGTGAAACTATCTCTGCGTTTCACCTGCTGAGTAGTTTCAAAGCGTTTCAGAAGAATGTCAGCCTGGCTCAGTCAGTAGCACTCTGAGACAGAAGAATCTGGGATCAATCCAGTAGAACTTCGAGAACTTCGAGCTCACAGTCTCGTATGCAGGAAGCTCTATAAATGCAAATTGTTGTTGTTGACAATCAAGTACAGTGCTGCGGGAGACTTCCACTATCAGAGATTCCGTCCTTTGCATGAGACATCAAGCCGATACCCCGTCTGCCTGTTCAGGCAAACGTTAAAGATCCCAACGCAACATTCAAAAGGAAAGGGAATTGCTCGCTGTGTCCTGGCCAACAAGCCCCCAGATCAAATTGACTTCATAGCTGTTTGTGGGGCATTGTTCTAGGCAAATTGGCTGCCGCATTTGCCTGCAAAATGCACAGTCACTACACTTTGCAGTAAATCCCGTGAAGCACTGTGAGACATCCTTCTGACGTGAAAAGCGTTATATCTAATACAAGGATAAATTATTATTATTGACTAGTGTCTAGCGAGCGGCACAGGTTAATTTACAAGATAGGATTTCAACAAAGCTGCGATTTCACAATTTAATTTTTAAATTAGTCTGAAGGTACAACAAAGAGCCCAAGTGTATGCTATTCAACAAGTCTGTGATTCGTGCCACTTCTGAGAATGATCTGCAAGTTGGGAGGCACAGGGTGGTTGGGAATTTCTCTAATAGAAGCACAATTGGTTAAATTGAAAAAAACAACAGGTTTCTGTTTGTGTTGGACCCTATTAACTGTCCCTTAGAGAGAAACGCTACAGTGTTTGGAAAACAGTACAGTAATTGCCTTTGTAGGTTTTCTATATTTCCATCTAAGTTAAAAAAGACATGAAGGAAAAAATGTGTATATAGTATTAGCTTGATATCACCCCTGCCTTTGCATTCCATGAATCTGTTACAGTGGAACATCATCTGCTGAGAAGTGAATCTCCCTTTAACAAAGAAACTCTCGATAGATTGACAGTGAAACTGCTGTCTCCTAATGGAGTGACTGACTTTCCTTTGCAATGAAACTCCTTGTAGAAGCACTGCGATCCACTTATAGTTTAACCACATCTCCTGATATAGTCAAACTCTTGTGTTAGGTTTGTTGAAAGATGTTGTCACCGTAGCCCTAGAAGTGGCATGGAATGGCATTTGCATCTCTAAGGGCAAGAGAAGAAAATGCATATAAGAGCAGAACTCAAAGGAGATAAAGGACAAAAAAGCAACTTACCTCCTTATAGAACTCCATAAGCCAAAACATCTAAAGCACTGTAATTTGGAGTTTTATTTTTATTATTTTTTTGAAGGAATTATTACCCCAGGAAAATCAATCCGCCAATCGACTAATAACCAGGCTCCTACTTACTGCTAGGTAAACAGAGATGTGTGGAGTAAGGAAACTTGTCCAACATTTCGCCATGCCGTGAATTGAACCCAGTTCTCTCACTTGCGAGGTGAGTGCTCTAACCGCTGAGCTACAGGACTCCACAATCAATTATAGACAATCAATGGCAAACCCTGCGGTTTTAGCTGGTTTGACTCCAGCAGTTATTCCAACAACAACAACAACAAGATTACATTTGTATAGCACCTTTCACGTCGGGAGGACGTCTCAAGGCGCTGGACAGAGTACAACATTTCAGACCCACACTCTGGGTCCCCAAGCCTTGGCTCTTGCTAACTTGTGCCTAATACTTTTGGGAATTAGGTACGCAGGATGTGTCCCTCCAGGGAGAGAGTGCACATTCCATACTAACAATCTATCTCTGAGATTTCCTTGTGTAGGTGGGATGCATAGAATTCTCAGCTTGGTTTGGATATTCTTAAGCATGGGGATGGGTTTCCGCTTGTGTCAGACACCTGACTGCTCCCCAAAACAATACAGGCAAATACAGAAGCCATTTTTTTACATAGCAAAGTCAAAATGCAACATGTGGTGAGCACGTTACTGATTGAGGACAGAGTGGCTGGGGAGGGGCCAGCGACTGAGTCTCACTGACATGAGATATTTCTCCACATTTATCTTCTCATTTCTTAAACAAAGGGGTTTATTACGCGCAACGTGGGATTCACAACCAATGGAGAGATTCATTACTTAGGCAATTAGCAACCAATCTTTCTTCATTGACTGCACACATGGTTTACACACAGTGCATAATACAGCTGTGTTTACACACAGTTTACACAGGAGACTGGACAATGAGCTGCAGAGAAAGTTGGTGTTAAACACATTAATGTCACTTTAAAGTGGGCGGATTGTGAGCATAGGAGAATTTCTCCTACTGCACAATCTGGCCTCGAGTGAGGTATGTTACTTCAAATACAGCTCTAAAAGCACAGAGAGCAAAGCTGCTTTACACTGCCTCATTCTTTCCAAACATCTGGAAGCGGTTCCAAGAGCAGAATTTCAACAAAAACTATTACTATATTTCACAGAGGCTTCCTGACAAAGGAGCTGCCCAACTCCTTTGCTTGAGAGCTGATTGTGTGAAATACTCTACTGACATCAATGTTGTCTCAGGCATTCCAGTGCTTCAGGTGGCTGGAGGCAGGGGTGCGAACGGCTTTCCGGTTTCACTACATCTGCAACATCTGGTCCTTTCAGAACTTGAGAAAAGCGAAATCCTGGAGAATCCCATTTACTCTCAGCAAATGGTAACCAGACACGTATCCAATTCAGGCCAAAAGTCACGTAAAGAGATAACTCCAAGTAACATTTACATTGCAGATCATTCCAGGGGACCAGGGAGCGAGGACAAGGGGGGAGATGTAAAAGGAACCCATGTTGTGGACCTGAATTAGGGCAGGTTGTTTTAACTCTGTGCTTAGAGGGAGTGAGGGAGGATGGAATGAAGGGACAGGGGAGAAAGTAATGAACGGGACAAGGAGAAGAAGGAATAATAATATGTAATAATAATCTTTGCATTTGATATAGCGTCTGCAAGAAACACAGACTAGTGGGCTCCGCAGAGCAAAGGCACTTGGGATGTCTTGCCAACCTGAAAGCGTTGTATAAATGAAATTTGTCGTCGGTGTTCTAAACCAGGAAGTTACTAACTTGAGAGAAACAGTACAAAATAATGCCCTCTTTATTGTGCTGCAACAAGCACAGAGTGACAGCATGCGACAAACCGCAACAAAAACCTAGCTCTCAGCACTTTAAAGATCAGAAGTAAATGTAACCTTTAGGATGCATACTTCTCAAGTATTTCTATTAATGATAGCTTGAATTAAAACAACCTGCCCCAACTTGGCACCATAACATGAGCTCCTTTTACACCTCCGTAATCATAAATATAGATTTAACCAGGTACACAGGAAGAGCAAGGGAATGGGATTAGAGAGCTCCAGCACAGACACGATGGGGAGAGCGCAGGGAATGGGGTTACAGTAGAGAGCTCCAGTGGGAGAGCGAGCACCAGCACAGACAATATTGGCGTTCTATGCTGAGAATTCCAATATCCTAAAATTCGTTGTGTAAATTCATGCCATCGGCACTCTGAGCTCACAATCCAGGCTGATGCGCCAGGGCAGTGCCGGGGTAGCGATGTTTTCAGGTGAGGCGTTAAATTCCATCTGCCTGTTCAAGTAAATGTCAAAGATCCCACAGCACTGTTCAAAAATAGAAGGGAATTTCTCCCAGTGTCCTGGCCAATCATCCCACAAACAAAATTGGTTATTCACTCCATGGCTGTTTATGGGACACTCCTGTGTGCAAATTAGCTGCCATGTTTTGTTACAAATACACAGTCACTAGACTTTACAATAAATCCTGTGAAGCCCTTTATCAAATGCAAGATTTTTAACCCAATACTGCAGAGCCACCTAGTGCTCAAGTTGTGCAGTGCACGTTTGCTGTTTGGAAACTCGATGAAATAATACACTACATCCTCGCATTTGAGATCTACATCTTGTCACCTCATCGAGAAGCCTCAAAGTGCTTCACAAGATTTTCTGTAAAGAGCAGCGTCTGTATATTTGTAAGCAAACGAGGCAGACAATTTGAGTGTGGCAATGCCCCACAAATTTAGTGACCAATTTTATTTGAGGGATTGTTGGTCAGGGCGCTGGGAGAAACTCCCTTGTCTTTTCAAGTAGTGCCATGGGATCTTTAATGTCTACCGGCAGATGGGCTAAGTTTAATGACTCATCCAAGGACTGACCCTCCAACAATGCAGAGCTCCCCCCAGCATTTCCCTGGATTGTCAGCCTGGACTGTCAGCTCAAAGTCCCAACGTCAGCCTGGAACACATTGCTTTGTCTCTTTAACCTCTTCTCTTGTGTGAGTTATTAGAACATCACCCAATCTCTCGCTTATTTTGTCTCCTCCCTTCCAGGGGCTGGCGAGTCAGGCAAGAGTACCATCGTCAAACAGATGAAGTGAGTGTTTCTTTTCTTTGTGTTAACTCGTCGTACAGTCTCAATGTGATCGCCAGGCTGCTGAGATACCACCCTCTAACACCCCCCCACACACACAGCTCCCTTCATTCACACATATACACACACACACACAGCTCCCCCAATCACCTATACTCACAAACACACATATACACTGTCCCACCCCGCTCACTCACACACACGCACAAATACACGCTTCCCCCTCTCTATTAAGGAGTGTATAATGGGGAGTGTATAATGGGGAGTGTATGTAGAGAAGTGGAGAGTGTGTAGAGTAAATATTCTAATGTACGTGGCTGCATCCCTGACAGGATTATTCACCAGGATGGTTACTCACGGGAGGAATGTTTGGAGTTTATCAGCATCATCTATGGCAACACCCTTCAGTCCATGATGGCCATCGTCAAGGCAATGACCACACTGAACATGGGATATGGAGATGGCGCCCGGCAGGTGAGTGCCACTCCCGTCTCTCTCTTTCCCACATGTAATATTTAATAATAATAATCATTACACTTTGAACATCACCTTATCAGGTCGAGACATCTCAAAGGACTTCACAGAGTATAGTGTAAAGTGAATTGAACAAAAAAAAACTCAAGGGCATAAGTATAAACTGGGCAATGATAGATTTATATTGTCAGCCGGGTATCTGACACATGTGGAAACCCATCACCATGGTTAAAAGGATCCAAACCGAGAATTCCATGCATCCAACTCATACTTGGAAATTCCAGAGATGTTTATTGGAATGGAATGCGCAGGAGCTGAGTGAAAAGCATCGCTACCCCCAGTGATCCTGGAATTTGCAGATGTGTTGGTCCATCTGAAGCCTCTCCACTGCATCCCCAGGATATTGGGTCCCTAAAGGATCCAGTGGTAGATCTAACAGCAAACTTAACTGCTTCACACTAAGGGTAGTGAGAATGTGGAATTCACTTCCAAAAAATGTGGTGGAAGCAGAAAGCATTGATGTATGTAAGAAGAAACTTGATGCATACATGAGGGAGAAGGGAGTGGAGGGGAGAGAGGAATAGTAGGAGGTGGTGGGGGGGGGTTTGTGTGGAGAATAAACCCTGATATGGACTGGTTGGGTGCTGTAACACTCTAGCTATAACTGCTCTGCCTCATTTCCCCAGGATGACGCTCGCAAGTTGATTCATCTAGCAGATACGATTGAAGAGGGTACAATGCCAAAGGAGATGTACGAAATCATCAGCCGCCTGTGGAAGGACTCGGGAATCCAGGCCTGCTTCGAACGAGCGTCCGAATACCAGCTGAATGATTCCGCAGGCTAGTGAGTCCTTCTGATAATCACACATGACACACACCGCCTTCCCTTTTAAAGGGGATGCCATGGGGGATCTTTTTATTCCGTGTGTGAATGGGACAAAATATAAATGAGTGTGTAGTCCTGCCCTGTGGCCACCAGAGGAAAGCAGGTTCACCATGTATAACCCAACCTTCTCCACAACACAATCAACCACACTCTGCTTTCCTTCGGGGGGCTGGGGGGTAGAAAAAGGGAGGTTAGCAACAACAACAACAGCTTGCACTTATATAGCGCCCTCCATGCAGAATAGCGTCTCAGAGCACACTTAACAGATTCTCTTTGAGGCTCAGTTGGCTCCAATTCAACATGGCCAGCAATAGAATATTACAATTGATGCAAACCACTGTAGTGTTCTCGGAGGTCCAGTTCCTTGAGCCAGCAGATCCTCAGTACTCCAAGGCACTGATGATGACTGCACAGCACTTCAGCAGGATTTGGGGGCAGACTGGTCACTGAGGGCAGGGAAATCCTCCCACTCAGTTCCTATTATCCCTGCAAGCCAAAGCCTTAATTGGGTTCCTAGCTGGACAAGCAGCAGTAAGCTTACCACATAGTGCTCTCAATGACAAGCTATTCTGCTTTGATGGGGCCCCCACCCAGCTGTGTGTTGCTGACTGCTTCCCTCTGCTCTGTTGCCTGTGGTGACCAGTTACCTGAATGATCTGGACCGGATTGTGCTGCCGGGGTATCTGCCCACAGAGCAAGATGTCCTGCGCTCCAGGGTCAAGACCACTGGCATCATCGAAACCCAGTTCTCATTTAAAGACCTCAACTTCAGGTATGGACAAGCAGTGCTTCCCAGTAACTCAAGACACTGTGTCCCCGAACTCGATTACTTCATTTGTATGTGTGTGTGTGTGTAGAGGGGTGATGAGGCGGGTGTGTGTGAGGTGGGGGGAGCGGTGTGTTTGGAGGGGCGGGTGGAGGTGGTGATGTGTGTGTGGGGGGGGGATGGTGATGTGTGTGTGTTGGGGTGGGGGTGAGGTGTGTGTGTGTGTGGGGGGGTGAGGTGTGTGTGTGGGCGATGAGGTGTGTGTGTGGGGGTGTGTGTGGGGGTGGGGGTGTGAGGTGTGTGTCTGTGTGGGGGTCTGAGGTGTGTGTGTGGACGATGAGGTGTGTGTGTGTGTGGGGGGAATGAGGTGCATGTGAGGGATGAGGTGTGTGTGAGGTGTGTGGGGGTGTGTGTGGTGGGGGGGGCGGCGCAGTGGGTGTTTGTGGGGTAGGAATGAATGGTGTACGGGTGTGCGGTGGTATTGGTGTGATGGCTGTGGGTTATTGCTTGGCGCTGCCCTGCCCTGTACAGGATGTTTGATGTTGGTGGCCAGCGCTCCGAACGCAAGAAATGGATCCACTGCTTCGAAGGTGTGACCTGCATTATCTTCATCGCAGCTCTGAGCGCGTACGACATGGTGCTCGTTGAGGACGACGAAGTGGTGAGCGACTCCGAGCGAGGCCCTGGGGCGGGTGAGGAGGGAATGGGGGAAGTGGGGAGGGCTTGATGAACCTGAGTGGTGTCCAGTTTCTCATGTCGACCTCCGTAAAATAAGCCCAGAGACAATCGAGCAGTGTGACAAGTCCACCTCAGCCCTGGACTCACGCCCTAACTGCTCTGTATTTATTTTTGGTCTGAAACATGTCAAAACCCATCCCCATGCTTAAGAATGTCCGAGCCAAGCTGAGAATTCCATGCATCCCACCTCCACATGGAAAACCCAGAGGTAGATTGTTGAAATGGAGTCAATCCATGACTGTTTGTGGGACGCTGCTTTGCGCAATTAGCTGCCGTGTTTCGCCCACAAAACATACAGTCAATTCACTGTACAGTATATTCTGTGAAGCGCTTTGAGACGTCTCAAAGTCGTGATAAGGCGCCATAACAAATGCATTTATTATTGATATGGCTGTCTAGCCAGCTTTCCCACTGCTTGTCTAGCTAGGACCACCCAACCCATTAGGGCTTTGCCTCGCAGGGTTAGAGTGCTCCGTAATGCCATCACAAGCACAAGTGCCGTTTATGCCGGGAGAACATCGTGGAGATGCTGGTTTATCATCTGTCTGTCTATCTGTCTGTCTGTCCATCACAGAACCGCATGCACGAGAGTCTTCACCTCTTTAACAGCATCTGTAACCACCGCTACTTCATCGCCACCTCCATCGTGCTCTTCCTCAACAAGAAGGATGTTTTCTTGGAGAAAATCAAGAAAACTCACCTGAGCATCTGCTTCCCAGACTATGATGGTGGGTCACACACCTCCCCCCAGCCCATTCCCACTCACCCCCCCACCCCCAGCCCATTCCCACTCACCCCCCCACCCCCAGCCCATTCCCACTCACCCACCCACCCCCAGCCCATTCCCACTCACCCCCCACCCCCAGCCCATTCCCACTCACCCCCCCACCCCCAGCCCATTCCCACTCACCCCCCCACCCCCAGCCCATTCCCACTCACCTCCCACCCCCAGCCCATTCCCACTCACCCCCCCACCCCCAGCTCCTTCCCACTCACCCCCCACCCCCAGCTCCTTCCCACTCACCCCCCCACCCCCAGCTCCTTCCCACTCACCCCCCCACCCCCAGCCCATTCCCACTCACCCCCCCACCCCCAGCCCATTCCCACTCACCCCCCCACCCCCAGCCCATTCCCACTCACCCCCACCCCCAGCTCCTTCCCACTCACCCCCCACCCCCAGCCCATTCCCACTCACCCCCCACCCCCAGCCCATTCCCACTCACCCCCCCACCCCCCAGCTCCTTCCCACTCACCCCCACCCCCAGCTCCTTCCCACTCACCCCCCACCCCCCAGCTCCTTCCCACTCACCCCCCCCCCCCCACCCCCACCCCCACCCCCAGCCCATTCCCACTCACCCCCACCCCCCAGCTCCTTCCCACTCACCCCCCACCCCCAGCCCCTTCCCACTCACCGCCCACCCCCAGCCCCTTCCCACTCACCCCCACCCCCCAGCTCCTTCCCACTCACCCCCCACCCCCAGCCCATTCCCACTCACCCCCCCACCCCCAGCCCATTCCCACTCACCCCCCACCCCCAGCCCATTCCCACTCACCCCCACCCCCCAGCTCCTTCCCACTCACCCTCCACCCCCAGCCCATTCCCACTCACCCTCCACCCCCAGCCCATTCCCACTCACCCCCCACCCCCAGCCCATTCCCACTCACCCCCACCCCCAGCTCCTTCCCACTTACCCCCACCCCCAGCCCATTCCCACTCACCGCCCACCCCCAGCCCATTCCCACTCACCCCCCCACCCCCAGCTCATTCCCACTCACCCCCCCACCCCCAGCCCATTCCCACTCACCCCCCCACCCCCAGCCCATTCCCACTCACCTCCCACCCCCGCGCATTCCCACTCACCCCCACCCCCAGCTCATTCCCACTCACCCCCCCACCCCCAGCCCATTCCCACTCACCTCCCACCCCCCGCTCATTCCCACTCACCCCCCCCACCCCCAGCTCATTCCCACTCAAGCCCCCCAGCGCATTCCCATTCAACCTCCCCAGCGCATTCTCACTGCTCCCCCCGAACATTCCCACTCTCCCCCACACACATTCTCTCTCTCTTCCCCTCAGTCTGTGTATGTGTAACATTTGCCCATCTCTCTCTCTGTGTCTCGGTGTCTGTGTGTGGGGGTATTGTCTCTCTCTCTCTGTGTCTCAGTGTCTGTGTGTCTTGTCTCTCTGTGTCTCAGTGTCTGTGTGTGGGTGTATTCTCTCTGTGTTTCAGTGTCTGTGTGTGGGTGTGTTGTCTCTCTCTCTATGTGGCTCAGTGTCTGTGTGTGGGTGTCTTGTCTCTCTCTGTGTGCCTCAGTGTCTGTGTGTGGGTGTGTTGTCTCTCTCTCTATGTGGCTCAGTGTCTGTGTGTATTCTGCCCTTTCTATCGTCTCCCTTCCCACCCCCTCTGTTGAGCCAGTGACCAGGAATGGTTGATGCATATTTCGGGAAGGAAGTGTTGGGATGAAGGGCAGTCTGCCTGGTAAACGTGCTTGTGATTGCCTCCCAGCCCTGAGCAGTTCTAAAAATGCCTGCCCCCAACGGACAGCAGAGCTCTGTACATATTTGCTTAAGTAACAGACCTACAGTAAAAGATGCCTCTGTAAGCAAGATAATCTGAAGCAATGGGTCTTCAGGAGCCATTTCCGGGGCTGTGAGCCAGTCTGACCACCCGCCACCAGCTGCAATTTCATGGTGTCCAGACCAATATTTACAGGTGTCACCAAAATGCAAAATACTGCTATAAATCTGAAGCAAAAACAGCAGTCTTTGGGAACACTCAGCAGGTCAGGCAGCATCTATAGAGAAAAGAAAGTGAGTCAACGTTTCGGGTCCACGATCCTTCGTCAGAATGTTCATTAGAACCAAACAAATTGGTCACAACTGATTGTGGGACATCGCTGTGTGCAAATCGCCATGTTCATCGACAAATACAGTGAATCCTGTGAAACTCTGGGATGTTTGGCTAAGCCAAGACATTATTATTATTACTACAGGAAACAACTCTTTCGATGATGCTGGGCTCTACATCAAGATGCAGTTCCTGGATTTGAACATGAGGAAAGATGTCAAGGAGATCTATTCACACTTAACCTGTGCCACCGACACAGAGAACGTCAAGTTTGTGTTTGACGCAGTCACAGACATCATCATCAAAGAGAACCTGAAAGACTGCGGGCTCTTCTGAACCCTTCCCCGCACTTAAAGGTAAATGTTTATAGGCAGTGCCTACAGAAAACTATCAACCTTATACTATACGTTCGCTCACAATAAACACCATTGCTGCACTTTGCAGTGTATTCTGTAAAGCACTTTGGGACGTCCTCCCAATGTGAAAGGCACTATTACCGAATGTAAGTGCAGTTTATATATAATATAATGTGTAACATAGTTTTAAAACTATATATAAGTTTTAATACTATTTAACACATTATTTATACATACAATATATAAATGATTGGTGTATGTGGTACTAAAACCCAAATGTAGTTATATAAAATACTAATATACACATTGTGTTATATACAGTACTATATATTTGGGGCCATTTGTCATTGATAAGAGCTGTAACACATTACATCATTTCCGTGATGTGCTGCTCCTCATACAATGACCTGCAATTTAAGATACACGCCCAGGGACTTACACGCAGCCTCACCCTGTCTGTAAATATAATAGCCCTTCAGCATTATGATGGGTTATGATAGGGTAAATTGTAATGGGATATTTTCACTATCAGTAACAGGAACAAAAATTTTCCAGATACTTGCTTGATGTGCTAAACCAAGACATTATTATAACAAGAAGCAACAAAAACAATCACAAAAAAATTAGCCTTTCCACAGCAGGTAGAGGCCACAATCCAGAGGAGAGTCCTAAAACTCTTTTAAGAGGGAAATAGTTGCTTGAAAGAGGAGAAATATCCAAGACTGTGAGGGATGAGCAAGATAGCGGGATTAATTTTTTGGGATCAGACGGATGTCTGACACATGCAGAAACCCATCACCTGCTTAACAGACTTCCTTCCACATGTATGTGCCACCCAGACATGGAAATTTCCCTGGAGTGGAAATTTCACCTTTTACCTGATTCTGGAGATTATTAGGCACACTGTGGCAAGAGTTTGGGGACTCCTAGAATGTGCGTTGGGGTAACTGCTGGAGTTTAACCAGCTAAAAGTCCTGTAGCTCATGGAGTCCTGTAGCTCAGTGGTTAGAGCACTCACCTCACAAGTGAGAGAGTTCAATTCCCGGCAGGGCAAAACTTTTGGCACGTTTACTTACACCAAATGTCTCTGTTTACCCAGCAGTAAGTCAGAACCCAGTTGTTAGTCGTTTGGCGGATTGCTTTTCTGGGGGTGATAATTCCTTCAAAATAATAATAATTTGGTCACTTCAATCCATGACTGTTTGTGGGACACTGCTGTGCGCAATTGGCCGCCAAGTTTCTCCCACACAAAAAAAAAGTCAATTCACTTTACAGTATATTCTGTGAAGCGCATTGAGATGTCTCGAAGACATGAAAAGCACTATATCAAATGCATTTATTATTGATTATTATTAAAACTGCGTAGCATGCTATTGAGAGCACTGCCTGGCAAACCTCCACTGTTTGTCCAGCTTGTGTGATTAGATCAGGTAGTTCATATGAAGTTAAAGGCCAGGGTATATTCAATAGTCTGAATGGCTTTTTTTCTGTGCTGTGACATTCCAAACTATAAACTGATCTCTCTGTCTCTCTTTCTCTCTCTTTCCCACCCCCCACCCCCCCCCGCCAGGTATTGCACATTACTATAAGAAACCTACCCAGATATTCCGGCCCACCACCCTGGATTGCTAAGAAACTATTCAACAATCTCTTCCTCGTCAATCGCTCTCACTTTGGTGTTAGATTGTGGGCAGTAACTCTTCCACTGCTGGACAGTCCCTTTAGCCATCCCATTCCCCCTCTGAACAATCCGTCAATCCTATTCCTCCTCTGGAATGTCTGTTAATCCCATTCCCGCTCCAGACAGTGTCAATCTTGTTTCCCCCTCAGTTACTCAGGGCAGTAAGGCTGCCTGTCACAGTGTCCTCGATGCTGTCCAGTCCACACACACACACACAGTAAAGATTTTAGTATGTCCTCCAATCCTCTGTTAGTGTTCAGTACACGAGTCCTGAGGCTTATAGAAAGAGATCTCATAGGAAACGAACAGCTCAGTGCATACTGTGGTGAAATGTCTGCAGTGGGGCTCAACAGGACAGGTACAAGTCACAAAATACTGTGGTGAGGTGTGAGACCTGCAGGGGGAGCTATTGTAGGACAGGTGCAGCAGAATCAGGCTGTAATGAAACAGCGACCCGTAGGGGGAGCGCTAAACAAGAATTACTCCATTCAGACCGTGCTGTAGTGAGCTGTGAGGCCTGTAGGTCCACTCAGCTCAGTAGTTTGGGAGTAAAATGGCCGCTGATAAATCTTGCTGAAACGTATTATTTTGTGTAAAACTCAATAAAAGACGAGCAAAAACATTACACATGTGACAGTGATTTGGGCTCCACCATTGCTAAGCTCTCTGAGATGCCACCCGGCGTGGAGGGCGCTATATAAGTGCAAGTTGCTGTTGTTGATGACTGGAATGTGTCCATCTAATCACTCAAACTGTTCACAGATGGATTTTTTTTGTGGTCAACCAGGTCTCCGATAGACACAGGCACCCATCACGGCCACACTGAAGAGCATCCAAACCAGACAAGAGTTGGTTCCACATACACTTGGAAATTTCCTTGTGTGGAATGGAGTGCCCCAAATGAAATCCCTGGAGGGAGGCACCTTTGCTTCCTGAATTCCAGAGAGTATCAGGCGCAAGTTGGCAGGAGCCAACGCTTGGGGGAATCTCAGAGCTTCATATTTTACAATAATTCTTTTGTCTGATTTATCACCCTCAATAACCCTCTTCACCTCCACATCCAACTGTCGCGATGTAAGGAATCTTTTGGCACTTTGGATGGAGAGTGAGGTCGGAGCAAACCTGTATAAACACTCCCATTTGAGTGGTTTCTGAGTGCTGAACCCTAAAAGTAAGTTTTTCCAGGTGTCCTATCCAACAATCCCACAGATAAAACTTGGTCATTCACTTGATGGCTATTTGTGGTGAAAAGTCCAGTGGTGTGGGACACTTACTGAGGAAAAGTACTCAAAATTTCAACAAGGGCAGGACCGGCAGCATGTGTGTGTAAGAAGGAAAGCCATTACCAAACACACGGTTTTGTTGCCCTGTTTTTGTTCCGGGGGAGGGGGATGGGGGGGGAATCTTCAAAGCTTGAATGCAGCGCTTGGTTGGTTTACTGCGAGGAAGTGAGCCGCTTCCTGAGCTGATGAACACAGGATACCCCAGACAGGAGCAGAGGAAGTTCTGGCTGAATACCAGCCCTGCCTGTGTGAAGCAGTAGCACGCCATTTCAGTAACCTTTTCACACATTTCCTAGTAGCTCTCTCGCCTCCGAGCCAGAAGGTTGTGGGTTCAAGCCCCACATCGGGACTTTGCACTTATAGTGGAAAATTGGAGGTGCGCGAGGGGAGTGGGGTGTTAGGTAAAAAGAGTGGTGATTAAATTGGTCATTCACTTTACTTGTTGATGTGGACTGTTCGTCTGCACAATCACTACACTTTACAGGAAATGCTGCAAAGTACTTTGAGACACTGAATATATGAACGACTCAGCATCAAACGTGTGGTTTATCAGGGCACCAGCATTGAACCAAATTTCTGCAAGAAAATATCTGCGGCAAATCAGCTTGAAAGGAGCAGCAGAGCATTAAACTCGACGGGGTGGGGGGGGGGCTGGGTTTGTCACGAGCTGTTTGCTCGACCTTCCTGTGTTTGTGCACGCTACAATGATTTTCAGCAGCACCATGCCCACAAAGCCAGTGCTTATAAACCTTCCCAAAGTGAACTTTGGTTAATTTACCAAATGTTGCCTTTTGCCCCCAGTTTTGATGAACGTCTGCGGTCTCGTCAAAAGCAAAATGAAAAGTACAAATGGCTCTCAGCGCTGGGTGCTCCTCACCTTATTCACACTCACCACCGTCCATGCTGCTTCTCCCTAAAGCAGCATCAAACTTGCACAGTGTGTATGTGGAGGTCGGGACTTTGAGTTCATAGTCTAGGCTGAGGTGCCGTGCTTTGGATGAGACGTTAAACCGAGGTCTCGTCTGTCTGTTCAGGTGGACATTAAAGATCCAATGGCACTATTTGAAAAGAGAAGGGAGTTTCTGTCTCCCGGTGTTCTGGCCAACAATCCCCCAAATAAAAATGGTCACTCACTCTCTCAAGTCTCAGCAACAAGCCAGACTGGCTGGTCTATCATTGGAATAGAGACAGTCCTAGACAGGTGGTCATGGTAGCCTTGCTCCTGAGTCAGGTGGGTCTAGGGCACTGCTAATTTCCCTAATTTCAGAGACTATTAGGTGTAGTAGATTATCAAAGCGCTCTGGGACGCCCCCTGCATAAATGGCGCTATATTGTTATTGTGGAAGGGCAGAGGCTCAGCTACCTCCCCCACACCTTTGAACTTGTGTTCTCCTATCTCACCACCATCATAACCTCTATGAAACCCACCTCTTGCTCCCTCGACCCATCCCTACCCCTCTCCTTTCCTCCCAGCTCCACTTCCTTGCCCCTCTACTCACTGACATCATTGTTTCCCTGTTGACTGGCAGATTTCCCACCCCCTTAAAAACAGCCGACATCACTCCTATCCTTAAAAAACCTTTCCTGAACCCATCCCTGCTCTCAATCTACTGCCCCATCTCCAACATCCCTCTCCTTTCCAAGGTCCCGGAATGAGTCATTGCTTCCCAACTTCATTCCTCCCTCTCCCGCCACTCCCTTCACGAACCCCTCCAAATGGGTTTCCATGCCGCCCACAGCACAGCAACAGCCCTGGTCAAAGTGACAAATTACATTTTGTTAATCTATGACCAGGGCTCCCTCTGTCTCGTCCTCTCTGCTGTGTTTGACACCATTGACCACTCTATACTCCTCCACCATCACCTCGCCTCTCACATCAACCTTCATGGTTTTATTCTTGCCTGTTCAGATCCCACCTTTCATACTGTCTCCACTTTGCCACCACACACGGCTTCTCCTCTAGCCCCTGCACCATCTCGTGTGGCCTTCCTTGGTCCCCTCCTCATCAATATCTATATGCTCCCTCTTGGTGAAATCATCCACAGATATGGGGTCAACTTCCACATGTATGTGGATGACACCCAACTCTACATCTACACCCCTGACCACAGGACCACTGCTATCCTCAGAATGTGTCAGACATTAATAATAATAATAATCCTTGCATTTGATATAGCGCTTTTCACGTCGGGAGGACGTCCCAAAGCGCTTCACAGAATATACTGTAAAGTGAGTTGACTGTATATTTGTGGGCGAACGCGGCAGCCAATTGCGCACAGCAATGTCCCACAAACAGTCATAGATTGAAAATGACCAATTTATTATTGTTTTGGGTTTTGGAGGGATTATTATTAGGCTCTGTGTGGAGTAAGGAAACTTGCCCAAGGTTTCGCCCTCTGCCTGGAATTGAATTCAGGTCTCTCACTTGCAAAGCGAGTGCTCTAACCACTGAGCTACAGGACTCCATTAAGTCCTGGATGAGAGCTAACTTTCTACATTTGAACATCAACAAGACTGAGGCTCTCCTGATTGGCCCCCATCAGCGTGCCCACACCTCAGGCGCTGACAGCATCACCATCCAAGGTTGCATACTCCACCTTGCTAAGCCAGTCCGGAACTTTTGTGTCTTGTTCCGACTCTCAACTATCCTTTCTACCCCATATCCGTGCCATGACCTGTTCAGCCTTACCCCACTTCTGCAACATCACCCTGCCCTGCCGTTGCCTCTTCCCTCAGGCCACTGAAACCCTCATCTAAGCTCGACTACATCAACAAAACACAAAATACTGCAGATGCTGGAAATCTGAAAACAGAAGTCACTGGGAACACTCAGCAGGTCAGGCAGCACCCTGCTTGTTGGCCTTCCCAATTCTTCCCTCAACAAGCTGCAGATCATCCAGAACTCTGCAGCTTGTGTCCTCTCCCTCACCAGGATCCGTGATCCCCTCCACCCTCGCCCAGCTCCACTGGCTTCCCATCCCCCAGAGGATAGAGTCCAAAATCTTCATCCTCGCCTTCAAGGCCCTTCACGGCCTAGGTAACTCTGTTACCTACTAACCCTATCAACGTGTCATTCCCTCTGCAGTGGAGGCTCCAGCCTGCTCCACGGCCCGGCCCGCCCACCATTGGCAGCCAGACCTTCAGCTTCTCTGCTCCAACTCTTTAGAACTCCATCCCAGTCCCTCCACCTCACCCCCTCCCTTGCCCCCTTTAAGACCTGTCTCAAGACACTCCTCTTCGACCAGGCCTCCTACCCGTACTCCTGATCCCACCAGCAGCTTGGGTGCGGATCCCTGACTGTCCAGCACCTTGGGACATCCTCCTGATGTGAAAAGGCACTATACATATGTAATTTGTTATTGTCTTGAGATGTGCTTTGAAGGAGGCAAGGGAGGGAGCAAAATGAAGGGATGTGGAATGGAGCTCCAAAGAGTGGGGGCAGAGAAGCTGAAGATTTAACTAGGTGTCTGGCCAACAGTTTCCTTCCCCCATCCCCAAATAATACGAATGGTCATTAATGGCTGTTTGTAGGACATTGTTGTGTACACTTACACTTAGTCACAATACTTCACAGTAAAATCTTGTGAAATGTTTTGAGACATCTCAACAGGAAAATGCACTGTATCGGTGGTGGCTGGTGACCCATTTGACCTTGTGCAATCTGAGTTTGCCTCACCAAGCTCTCATTACCATAGTAATGGACACTTTGCACATGCGCAATGTCTTAACCTCTCCCCCGCTGGCTTTGCTCCATTCCTCCCACGGCTCCTGTCTAGGTGAGGCACCTGACGAGCCGCAATACATTATTATATTGAAATCACATAGTGGAGTCCTGTAGCTCAGTGGTTACAGCACTCGCTTTGCAAGCGAGAGACCTGAGTTCAATTCCAGGCAGAGGGCGAAACCTTGGGCAAGTTTCCTTACTCCACACAGAGCCTAATAATAATACCTCCAAAAACCAAAAGGAGGAAAGGGAGGAGGCGGCGAAGGTACTGGAGGATGGAGTTCCAGAGCCTCGGGGCTGAGAGGCTGAAGGCCCGGCCACCGATGGTAGGGCGGTTGGGGCGGGGGATGTGGAGCAGACCGGAGCCAGAGGAACGGAGGGTACGGGCAGGTAAGTAGGGGGATAGTAGGTCGGAGAGGTAGGATGGAGCAAGGCCGTGAATGGCCTTGTAGGTGAGGATGAGGATCTTGAACTCGATCCTCTGGGGGATGGGGAGCCAGTGGAGGCGAGCGAGGGTGGGAGTCCTGTAGTTCAGTGGTTAGAGCACTCGCTTTGCAAGTGAGAGACCTGAGTTCAATTCCAGGCAGAGGGGGAAACCTTGGGCAAGTTTCCTTACTCCACACAGAGCCTAATAATAATCCCTCCAAAAACCAAAAACAATAATAAATTGGTCATTTTCAATCTACGACTGTTTGTGGGACATTGCTGTGCGCAATTGGCTGCCGCGTTCGCCCACAAATATATAGTCAATTCACTTTACAGTGTGTTCTGTGAAGCGCTTTGGGACATCCTCCCGACGTGAAAAGCAATATATCAAATGGAAGGATTATTATTATTATTATTATAGCTTCCCTTTGAGAGGGGCACTGACTGCTAGGCTTCCTGCTTAGGAAACTTATTCGGGATTTGGCTTTCAGGTTTAATAGGAGCTGAGTCCAAATGGTAGAGAAAGAATAATTCTTGTCCCAAAGCACCTCACAGGATATATTGTAAAGTGAAGTGACTGTGTGTTTTTGTGGACAAACTCAGCACAGCCAATATGCACACAAACAGCCATGAAGCGAATGACTAGTTTTATCTGGGGGATTGTTGGTTTTGTCAGCTGTCAACAAGGAGAAACTTCCTTCTCTTCTCGAGCAGTGCAATGCCATTATTTAACATCAATCTCAAGCCATTCTTTAAACCTGGAGCACATGAAAGAGGAACATTTCGCCCACAAAATATACTGTCGATTCACTTTACAGTATATTCTGTGAAGCGTTTTGAGACATCTCGAATTTGTTAAGGCGCTATATCAAATGCAAGGATGATTATGAAAGATGAGTCATTCAAGTGCCTACTAAAAAGTATTTTTTTTATTAATTTGGTCTTTTATTTTTTCAACGTTTTTACACCAGGTAATATATTGTAAGAAACTTACATGGTTTCAATGCATGTTGGCCTCAGTACAAATTGAAGAGTTGTGGGCATGTGTGGATGTAAGTTATTTTATAAGTAATAACAATAAAAATGACAGCTGGTCAAATATTTTCAGATAGCATGTTGTTGTTAATTTGATTCTTAGGAAAAACTCGTCGCAAATAAACTGAACCAACATACCTGACCGTCAGAAAAAAAGCTCAACAGAAGAAATGGACAATTTATTTTAATGTTGCAAAGCTTTCCTTCACTATTATTTTTAAATTTAACTCACATAAAACCATGATCTACAATTAGCTCTTTCCTATTTACCAAGGTTCTCTTGCTCTAAATATTGCAAGCTAAGTTTTGTTTTTATACATATATAAAAAGTACACAAAAATTAAATACAGAAAAGGCTGCTTCAAAGTTTTAACAGGTTTTTAGTAAATCGATAAGTTCCTTGGTTCTCAGTGACTTTTCTGTTGGAAGAAAAATTGTCCAACATCGACAAATTCCTTTACAAACTAAAATCTCAACGACATAATTTTCAGTCAAATTCATGTTGCACCTGACCTCCCTTGTCCATCATGCAACACATTGCTGCTTGAAGGACTTGAAGGGGCAGACTGAAAGCAGGGACTCTTCCCACTCAACTACTGTTAACCCTGCAAGCCAAAGCCCTAATGGCTAGGGTGGTCTTAGCTGAACGATCAGCCTCAAACTGGAAAACAACAATGAATTGGGAATTGTGGTGAACAATCAGATTTGCAAACTGTAATATTGGGAGTCGGGGTGGATAAACAGGACTCGTAATGTTAGAAGCATTTTCCAGTTAAGGGATTGAATTTAGGATTTTGTTTTAATATAATGACTTTGTAGTTAATGGACTGCTGTACATAGATATGGAATGGAATAATAATTTTAAATCTAGGAATAAATCTGGTATGCAACATAAGTGGAACTGAAAAAACCCTCTCTTCCAAATTTACAAAAGTCAGATATTTAAACAGCCTTCTGTGAATCACTGATCCAGTAGTTATAAATAGTCAATGCTCTTCGCATAGATGAAGGACTGCCTGAGAAACATAAGTTGGAGCTTGAAAAGACCAATGTCACTAATACTTAAAAACTGCTAGAGTGTTTGTTTAAAAGGTGTTATTAAAAACTCAATAAAATCAGATTGTGCTGATACGATTTTCAACGGAGTCTATGCAGGGCTGTGAGAGCCAAGCAGCAATGTGTTGCATCAGATTTTATTTATTAAGAAAAGTTTTTTTTAGTGCTTTCAATATCATTAAGCGAAGAGAACACAACAGGCTTCAAAGTGAAAAGACACGCGAGAGGGTGAACGGAAATGAAATGCTTATTCTTTGCTTTAACTCTTCCGGCTCTTGTCACCTCCACATTACAACTCCACTGTGTCCAGGGGGAGGACAGAATCTTTCAACTTCTACAATTATCTTAAACTAAGTGAGGATTTCTATTTGTTGAAGAATTTCAGACACACCAAAGTGACTTCTGATTCAACTAGGAAGAGTGAGAAGGCAGGAGTGAGTGAGAGGAGGTGAAATGGGTTTTACTTGAATTGTTAGAAAGGAAGTGAGCTACTAGGTAATTTTTTTTTAAACCCATCCATCTAATGTCGCACCAAGCATTGCATCATTAAATCCACTGGTAATACTTGGAGCATGGACATTACTGTCAATTTTACACCAAAAAATAACATGGGATCTTCTACATGGCACACGCATTAAAGTCTCTCAAACTAAGCTAAGAAATCGGTGATCCTCACTCTCCCCGACCATCAAGCTTGAGTGCAATTGGATGAAAGGGAAGGAGGCATTAATTAAATCCAAGCTTTTGTAATCCAAGCAGACGGTAACTCTTGTGGTTTATCACTGACCCAAATCTACCGAGAATGGTGTTCACAAAAGCTCTCAGAAACTAGCTAGGTACTACAAGAGATATTCAGCACTAGGGCAAGTGGGAGAGACAGAGAGGAGGGTGATCAAGAGAGAGATCAGACGGAAGGCCGGCATTTTGTATTAAAAACAAGACATTTAATGTGTCTCGCTTTCCTCCCTCTAACCTATATTTAGAAAACACTTGAGTCTCCATAAATCTTTGGGTCAGCCTGGTAGGGAAGAGGTGAAGCTACAGAAAAGGGGAAACATCTTTACAAAGGACTAAAGGAAGCTTTAGAGTAATAAATTAACAAAACAAATGCAGATGGAACTACTGTACATGTGGAAAATTCACCATGCGCATGAAGAGTTAATGCAACAAATAACAAGATGGGCCATTGAAACAGAGGAACACATCAGAAGAACACAGACTGTATCACTGGATATGCCAAAGTAAATTAAGGTAAAAATCACTTGGGTCAGGAGTTCCAGGAAATAAAATTGCAAACACTACTAAAACGAAAGTTGAACTCAGTTACAGGCTGTAAACAAAGCTATATTCAAGGCACAAAATGCACTGTAGCAAACTTCATGTCAGAACTTTGTAGGTTACTTGAATTTTAAATATGATAATTTCCAGCTTAGTAGCTATCAAGGCCTAATTTTTTTTTTACAAAGCCACTTTTTAGGAATGTCTGCTCAACATATAAAGGTAAGGAGACTCAGATATACATGCAAATCGGCTTGCACACTGCTTCTTGCAAGGGGATAGAGCTTTTAGAGGGATACAGAAACCCTGCTCGTCTGAGTTGTTGTCTTTGACAAAATGAGGCAGAGCATTTTTGTAACTTCATACATGCTTGATCTAACACACATTCTGACACCCAAACCTGACACATAAGAAATGACCACGTTTCGCCCAACGCAGCTTTCATTATTTCAACTCAAGGATATCTGTGTTTTTGGAAAAAAAGGCAATTCTCGCAAAAAAATATAATTAATTAAATAGTAAAAATCAGTGTTATCGGGGGGAGGGGTGGGGGATGAGAATAAAAAGACTGGAGAAATTTGCAAAGCATTCATAATCTTAAGTCTTTTGTAAAAAGCAATTAAAAGCAGAAAGCTAGTTTATTGGTGCAGTCCTTCCTCTGGTAACCTTCACACTGAGCAGTTTGTATAATCCTGTATAGGGGGAGAAAAAGGGAGAGAATTAAACACTATGTCTCACCATTTTAATTTATAACATTTCTGGGATAAAATACAGTATTATGCACAAATAAGTAACAAGAGATTAATGCGTATATAAATACAAGTATATGATCGATGATATTTCTTTATGGTTTAGGTAGCCGGCTCCAACTTTAGAGTCTCCAATCGAAAACTCTTAATGAGATTCACATAAATGGAAACTTCCCTGCCTCTGGAATGGAGTATGCACTCTCCCTCCTTCACCCCTTCCTTCTCCACACTCCCCCACTCCCCCCTGAGGGCAAGTGGCTGCTTTGGCCTAATCTCAGAGAGTATTGGGTGCAGGTTGGCAAGAGTTGAGGCTACAGAGACCCCAGAGTGTGCTCTGCTGGGTACTCCTAGAATTTAACCAGCTTGCAATTGCAAACACCTTGTCGAGCTTGGATCACTCAACCTGCCTGGGCTTCAAATACACCAAAATGCAACATACAGGGTTACCCAGTTTGAATCCCACTGCCACCCGTCCCATGGGTTCACCATTGACTCACGCGCCTACTATGGACTCGAGCTGCACCAGAAACTCTGTCCAGCTGGCTTCCGGCACTGGCTGCACAGAAAACACCACAGACATCATTTTGCGAAGGAACTGACATAAGAGACAAACCAGTGACCCGGAAGTTGGTCATTTTGCACTCTTGGTTATAATGCAGACTATACGATATTGGCCTCTGGTGCCCGTGTTACTAGATAACAAGGTAAATATCTTACACAGAGTAACCTACAGGAGTATGGAGAAAAGGCAGGTAAATGGGACTCAAAAGAACTGCTCTTAAAAAGAAAAGCAAACACAATGGGCCGAATGGGCTTCTTCTGTGTTATAAATGCCCATGGGTCTATGGGGTTGCCCTGTATGGGGCAGTTGTTTTACTGAAATAGCACTAATTGGTTCAGACGAAGAAGGCCCTCTTGACCTATTTGTTCTCCCTACAAGCTTTATACATTTGCCCTTTCTTCTTCATCTCCCTTTTTATTTTCCTTTTGATTTATTTTGAGGTGTTTGTTTTATGTTGCCTCCGCTGCACTTGAGTAAGTACTTGTATTATGCATAATTGTTTTTAAAAAGGATAATAAATGATAATGGTTTTTATTTATTTTTTAAAAGGTTGGCCATTTATCCTCAACTGATTTGTCCACTGTTCCATAAAGCTGAAGTAGCAAATTATACAACAGCAGTGCAGTGCATATGGTATGAGGTGAAAATACAGCCGAGTTGAGCTGCTATTCTCCAACAGACATTGAAATGCTGGGATCGTCATTGGGAACAAAGGGTTTTGAACCAAGTTTGGGACTCACTCTCTCGCTCCCTTCCCCTCCCTGACAATTATCAGCTAATTCGTCTACAGGACCAGAATGTTACACCGCGTGCTATTTAATTCTATTTTCACCCCTATAAAATACATGAAAGTTATCATTACCTCCTGCAACAGTACACTAGATCCTAACCTTGTTGCTGTGAAACCAGCCAGAACACGCCAAAGCCAATTCTGCAATTAGTGTTGAAAGGTTTCCAGCCAGTCCTTGCTGGCTGGACTGATCCTTTCCCTGGAAGCATCTGTAACAATGGAGCTGAAACTGCAGTTCCTGTGTGAAGCAGCCAAGCAAGATCCCCTGGGGATGAAACTCGCAGCTTTATCACGTAGCAAGCCCTTACTCATAGCATTTCACGTCAGGTTAGGTTTACTGCCTCTATTTATATGTACACAGGAGCCTTGTGCTTCTTACACAGCGATCAGAAACACAAGGCTTAAGATTGGGAAGCACAGGGAGAGTGCTGCTGGATAATGCCGGGCAAGAATTGTGTCAGGAATTAGTTAGCCAAAGAGCGGAGTTCTCTGCGCTAAACATTTCTTGTTATATTGCTATAATAATAGTCCTTACATTTGATATAATAATAATCCTTGCATTTGATATAGCACTTTTCACGTCTTCTAGACGTCTCAAAGCGCTTCAATAACGCTGTATCACATTATTGAAATGTCTTAAAGCACTTGACAAGATATAGTATAAAGTGGAATGGACTGTGTATTTTGTGGGCGAACAGCGGCAGCGAATTGTGCGCAGCAGGGTCCCATAAACAGTCCTGGATTGAGTGTCCAAATTTTTTTTTTTTTTTTTACGATGATGCCTATGAAGGTCATGGTTAAGATCTTTATTTGCCAGACTACGGCACTACCTCACCCCTCACGCTGCTGAAACTCTGGTCCGCGCCTTTATCACCTCAAGGCTGGACTATGGGAACTCTCTCCTCGTCGGCCTTCCTGGCACCTCCCTCCACAAGCTGCAGGTCATTCAGAACTCTGCAGCTCGTGTACTGTCCCGCACCAGGCTTCGCGACCACATAATAATAATAATAATAATAATAATCCTATAATAATAATAATCCTTGCATTTGATATAGCGCTTTTCACGTCGGGAGGACGTCCCAAAGCGCTTCACAGAACACACTGTAAAGTGAATTGACTGTATATTTGTGGGCAAACGTGGCAGCCAATTGCGCACAGCAATGTCCCACAAACAGTCGTAGATTGAAAATGACCAATTTATTATTGTTTTTGGTTTTTGGAGGGATTATTATTAGGCTCTGTGTGGAGTAAGGAAACTTGCCCAAGGTTTCCCCCTCTGCCTGGAATTGAACTCAGGTCTCTCACTTGCAAAGCGAGTGCTCTAACCACTGAACTACAGGACTCCCACCCTCGCTCGCCTCCACTGGCTCCCCATCCCCCAGAGGATCGAGTTCAAGATCCTCATCCTCACCTACAAGGCCATTCACGGGCTTGCTCCATCCTACCTCTCCGACCTACTATCCCCCTGCTTACCTGCCCGTACCCTCCGTTCCTCTGGCTCCGGTCTGCTCCACATCCCCCGCCCCAACCGCCCTACCATCGGTGGCCGGGCCTTCAGCCTCTCAGCCCCGAGGCTCTGGAACTCCATCCTCCAGTACCTTCGCCGCCTCCTCCCTTTCCTCCTTCAAGGCCGGTCTCAAGACCTTTCTCTTTGACCGAGCCTTCAGCTCCCCTCTCGACTCTCTACCCCCTCCTCGCTCCCTCCCTTCTCTTCCCTCACCCTGACCATTTTCCCCCCAAGGCTCGGGTCCTGATCCAATTGTCCAGAGCCTTGGGACTTCTCCCCGACGTGAAAGGCGCTCTGTAAATGGAATCTTGTTGTTGTTGTTATTTATTTATTGCTTGATTTCAATATACTCAGCCGGATGTCTGGCACGGTTGGAAACCCTCCACCATGCTTAAGAGACTCCAAACCAGACAGAGTTTCAAGCATGCCACTACACATAGAAATTTCCCTGTGTCTGGAATGGAATGTGCACTCATTTAACACTGGAATCATTATCATGTGATTCATGTACAATATGATACATGTTAAAAATTACAACCAGTATTATATGCCAGACAGTGCATTACCCAATTAGCAGTACAACAACAACTTGGATTTATATAGCGCCTTCCACCCCCGATGGCATCTCAGAGCGCTTTACAGTAATGGATCCTGGGACTGAGCCAGGGGGAGGGGGAGGAAGGTGACCAAAGGCGCGGTTGAAAAGAAAGGTCTTCAGCAGAGACCTGAAAATGGGAAGGGAGGGAGCGAGACAAAGGGAGTGAGGAAGGGAGTTCCAGAGCCTCAGGGCATAGTGGCTGAAGGCACGGCCGCCGAGGGTGGAGCGGAGGACTCGGGGGACAAGGAGGAGGCCAGACCGGTTGGAACGAAGGCAACGGGTACTGTGTTGAGGAGAGAGGAGGTCAGAGAGGTCGGGGGGTGCAGAGGAGTGCAGGGACTTGAATACAAGGGTGGGGATCTTGAAATCGATCCTCTCTGGGATAGGCAGCCAGTGCAGTCTGGCCAGGACTGGGGTGATTGGGGAGCGGAGTTTGGTGCGGGTGGCAGAGTTTTGAATGATTCAGATTTTATGGATGGGAGACCGGCGAGGAGGGCACTAGAATAGTCCAGCCAAGAGGTGACAAAGGCATGGACCAGAGTTTCAGCGGCTTTCAGAGAGAGGTATTGGCGGAGACGGGCAATGCGTCGGAAGTGGAAGAAAGCGGTGCTGGTGAGGGACCGGATATGGGGGAGGAAGGATAATTGGGGGTCGAACCTGACGCCTAGGTTGCATACGGGTACGGAGAGTTTTAGGGGGAAGTTGGGTAGGTGGAGGAGGTGAGATCCGTGAGATTTTAGAAGTTGACGAGAGCCAAAGAGTATGGCTTCCGTCTTGTCAACGTTCAGCTGAAGGAAGTTTGTGCTCATCCAGCCCCTGAGATCTGACAGGCAGCTGACAGAACATCAGGGGACTGGGAGTCACAAAGAGAAGTGGAAAAATACGAGTTGGGTGTCATCTGCATACATGTGGAAATGTACCCCATGTCTGCGGATGACATCCCCAAGAGGAGGGGGCCAAGGATGGTTCCTTGGGGTACCCCACAGGTATCCGGGTGAGAGCGGGAGGAGAAACCATTTGTGCAGATTTACTGCTGGCGGTTTGTGAGGTAGGACTCGAATCAGGCGAGTGCGGTCCCACTGAGGTGGATGACGGAGGAAAGGCGGTGGAGGAGGATGGCGTGATCAACTGTGTCGAATGCGGCGGAGAGGTCCAGGAGGACAAGGAGGCAGATGGAGCCCTGGTCACAGATAGAGATGTCGTTTGTGACTTTCACAAGCGCAGTCTCTGTACTGTGGGCGGAAACCGGACTGGAGGGGTTCGAAGAGGGAGTGGGAGGAGAGGTGTGCGTGAAGTTGATTGGCAACAACGCGTTCTAGAACTTTTGAGAGGAAGGGCAGGTTAGAAATAGGGCGGTAATGGCTGGGGTTTGAGGGATCTAGGGAGGGTTTTTTCGGGAGAGGGTGATGGCAGCAGTTTTGAGGGAGGCAGGGACTGATCCGGAGAAAAGGGACTGGTTGATGATCAGCCAGTAGTGGGCAGAGGAGGGGGAGCTGGGTGACCAGTAAGTTGGTGGGGAGAGGGTATATATTACAACTCATGGTAATATATACACAGGACAGATATTCCCAGGGATTAAAGAGTGCAGTCATGTCTTGGCTTTTTGATAAGACGTTTAACCAAGGGGGAAGTTAAAGATCCCATGGCACGATTCGAAAAGAGGAGTTTCTCCCAGTGTCCTGGCCAACAATCCCCCAAATGAAACTGGCCATCATTGCACAGCTGTTTGCGAGATGTTGAGTGCAAATTGGCAGCCACATTTGCCCACAAAGTACACAGTCACAGTATATTCTGTGAAGCGCTTTGAGACATCTTAATTACGCTTGATAAGGCATGATACGAAATCCAAAGATATTATGATGTATCGGGGTAGGGGGTCTCTGCACTGCTACCTTGGACACGACCTAAAGAAATCCAGCACAAACTGCAGTCTGGTACCTCCTCACTCAGCTGTAGTCACATGCGCGCTCGCAAAAAAAAATGATCACTCCGTTTGTGGGACACTGCTGTGCGCAATTGACTGCATGGTTTTGCCCACAAAATACAGTCAATCCACTTCACAATATATTCTGTGAAACACTTTAATATGTCTCAACGATGTGATAAGGAGCTATATCAAATGCAAGGATTATTATTAGTGTGAGAGCCAAAGGCAGCTCATTTGCACTGCTAGTCAACACACATCAAACAAGGAATATTACGGCCTGCGGTCAGAATTAAGAGGTAAGCCAACTGTATTTGAGTTTGCAGCCTCCACGAACCTCCATTATACTGTGTTTTACAGCTATTTTCACTAATTCTTCCACTGCCACTTCCCCCTCCATCTAAGAATGTTAGGAAATGGAACATTCACCTGCTGATTTTCTGCACTTGTAGCCATTTCATCTAGCGCACTCTCTGTTACTGTCCCCAGACACACCTTTAATATTCACCTTCAAAATTTACCTGAAGACTTTCCTATTTGATAACAACTTGCATTGATTATAGCGCCCTCATTCAGGGCAGCATTCCAGAGCGCTCGACAGTGGCGCAGAGGCAGAGAGAGGTGGGAGGAAGGGGCAACGCGGTGGGATATGGGGAAAGTGTTCCAGAGTTTCAGGGCATAGTAGCTGAAAGCACAGCCACCGATGGTGAAACGGATCGCACGAGCAACATACAGGAGACCAGAGCCAGTCGAGCGAGTTAACGGATACTGGGTTGGGGAGTAAGCAGGTTGGAGAGGTAGGGAGGTGCCAAGACATGAAGGGATTTGAAGGTGGATCTTGAAATCGATTGGGGACCAGTGGAGCCCGACTAGAACTGGTGTGACGGGGGTACAGAGTTTACGATGGGCAAGTATGCAGGCGGCAGAGTTTTGGATCAGCTGGATTTTGTGGATAGTGGAGCTGGGGAGACCCGCAAGGAAAACATTATTTAAATAGTCGAGGCGGGAGGTAAGAAATGCGTGGACAAGTGTTTTGCACCTGTGGGAAGGTACGGTTGGAGGTGGCAATGTGCCGGAGATGGAGGAAGGCGATCCTGGTCAGGGACTGAACTGGAAGGACAGCTGCGGGTCGAACCTGACACTTAGGATGCGCACCGGTTCACTGAGTCTGAGGGATAGGCTGGGGAAGTTGAGATCAGAACCACAGGACAGAAGACGTTGAAGGGAGCCAAGGAGTATAGCTTTGGTCTTGTCGACATTTACATTAGGCTAATGGCAATGTAAATGGCAATGGCAATTAGGCAAATCCCATTATCCTAATGATCCTGTCGACCTCCTTTCTCTCCCATTCAAAATTCACCATTGTTAACGGCATTGTATAAATGCAAGCTGTTGTTGTAGTATAATACTATTTTACCGTAAATCCTATGAAGTGCTTTGAGATGTCCCTCTAATGTGAAAAGTGTATTGAATACGAGGAATGTTATAATTCCTCTTTTCCAAGAACCAAAGATTTTATAGACTAATTAAAGTCTCCCCACTTCTTCATTTGTAACATGCAGCTATCTGTAATATCAATGCCCAAGAGTACCCTTCCCCACATCATTCCAGCAAGGGACCCCCCATCCCACTCTCTCCTTCCCTCAAGACATGGCATGAGAAAGAATTCCCCATTGACTGCAACATTGCTAGAATTCTTCCCCTCGGTCTCAGTTGATTTGTTTTAAAAATATCTTGTTCGCTTCCCCTCAGCGATAACACAAACTCAGTTGCAGTGGGTTTGGGTCAGGGCTTAGTATACAACATTAATCCTTGCATTTAATACAGCGCCTATTCACATCGTCGAGATGCCTCTTCACAGAGTTTTACTGTGAAGTGCGTGACTGTATATATTGTAGGTGAACATGGCAGCCAATATGCACACAGCAACATCCGGCAAACAGCCAATGAAGCAAGTAACCAATACTGATTAATATTCAGGCTAAAGCTTCTGTGATCTTCCGACAAGAAACTCAAATCTTCCACCTTCAAATCCCATTAGCCTAATGATTTAAGAGCCTTTCTCCCTAACATCCCAGTGTCTAACACTGTGCTCGGTGCCTGCTCTCTTAGCTGGCTGTTGTGAACAACCCCGAGTGTGGAAAGGAGCTGAGAAAGATCACAAAGACAATTATTAATTTCCCTCAGCAACCACAGGTCAGTTGCTTGGCAACAAGGTCTGTTATGTTTATCCAAGATCCCTTTGTAATCAGATGTTTGTGTCCTTGTGTATCTATAATAAAGAGCCCTTGGCATGAGTTTGAAGTTTAAGAAGGCCCATTTCCTCTCCCACCACCACCCCTTACTCATGGCACTTGATTCAGCCATTCCCCCTCTTTCCACTCCCCCTGTCAGATGAGCAGTAATTTGCCCTACGCCTTTGACCCTATTTACCAATTCTCTGCTTCTAACATTGGGGCACTGGCTGGCTGGTCACCAGTCTCCTGTGATCATAGTCCATAAAGAGCTCTAACTCTTCACTCAGTTACTTCCTGTAATAAGGAACTACAAAGAAAGTCTCCCTTATGTGTAAATCACCAATCTTCCTCCTCAGACCCGTAACCAAACCACATTTCTGCAGTTGGACCATCAATCTAACTAACAACCAAATCTATTTTCACTCCCCCTCCCATGTCCAACAATTTACTACAGATTGGTGTAGATGAAAAAGACCCTTCGGCCCATCTGATCTCATTTCTCCAGAACACCCCATCACAGCATTGAGCCACTTTTTAAATGAGTCCCAGTGTCCTCCCCTTAACCACAATTCTTGGCAACCTGTCCCAGTCTCAAATTACCCTCTGGATAAAGAAATTACTCTCTATAATTTCTCTATAAGACCCTTCTTTTAAATTGCATTTATATAGTGCCTTTCACATCAGGAGGACATCCCAAGGAGCAGGATAGTCGAGCGTTTGAACCTGAGCCCGGGGTTGGAATCAGGAGGAGTGGGGCCGGTGGGGTAGGAAAATGACAGAAAGAGCAGTCAAAGAGAAAGGTCTTGAGATAGGAAGAGAAGGAAAGCTGGGTACACCCAACCTGCCCTCATAATAATCCTTGCATTTCATATAGCGCCTTATCATATCGTTGAAACGTCTCAAAGTGCTTCATAGGATATACTGTATAGTGGATTTTTGACTGTGCATTTTGTGGGTGATGTTCCACAGCCAGTTACGTACAGCATTGTCCCACAAACAACCAGCGACCAATTTTATTTGGGGCGTTTGTTAGCCAGGGTTTCAGGAGAGAGAAATTCCCATTTCTTTTCAAATAGTGCCATGGGATCTTTAACATCCAGCTGGACAGGTAGACGGAATCTCAGTTTAATATCTCATCCAAAGTACTGCTGGTGACATAGCCATTTTACACAGGATGTTTACCTTCACTCTTCCGTTCATTAGAAGAGACCGCAATCCTTCAGGTTATTCTTGATAATGACATCAGTGACGGCATCGAAGACAAATTGCACGTGCTTGGTGTCTGTGGCACAGGTGAAGTGTGTGTAGATCTCTTTGGTGTCCTTCCTTTTGTTCAGGTCCTCAAATTTGGTTTGAATGTAGGCTGCAGCCTCGTCATACTTGTTTGCTCCTGCGTTTAGAAACACATCACATCGTGAGTGATGTTAAACACCGGAGTAACTTCAAATAACAACTTGCATTTATGTAGTGCCCATCCTGCAGGGTAGTGTCCCAGATCGCTTATAACCCTTGCATTTGATATAGTGTTTTATTATGTCGTTGAGATGTCTCAAAGCCCTCCACAGGATTTATTTAAGTGGATTGACTATGTATTTTGTTCTAACTGCAGACCACAGCCCAGCAGCCAGTGCCCATTGTTCATCCCCTGAACATCCTCCGCACACACAGAGGATTGGGAAATTATTTTTTTATTGACTCTGGAGTAGCAAATGCTGGCTTGAGAGATTAGTAGATTCAATATTTCACTATAAATCTATTTATTTGTCATATCTTTAAATATGTAACTCTGAGGCAGTGCAGAGAGCAACTGATACGATTCCCAGTGGTAGAGGAGTGAGCTAGGTATCAAGAAGTCAAACTTTAAAAGGGATTGAAAAAATAAACCCAGAACAATACATTACGATGCACTAAGACAATAGAACAAGAGTGCATATAGGTTTAGAATTGTAAAGGGCAACTTCAGGAGACACCAGAAAGTTTTTCTTTACCCAGAGGGGGATTAACAACTGGCACGGGTTGCCAGGAAGGGTGGTTGAGGCCAGGACATTGAACTCATTTTAAAAAATAGCTTGATGCTGTGATGGGAAAAAGTTAGGGCGGGTGTTTTGGAAGGATGAGATCAAATGACGGACTAGGGCATTCTATATCCAAACCGGTCTTGTGATCTTTGGCTCTGAATTTTCTTCATCACTCTTAGTTGGAAGCTTTGAAATTTAATGAGAAACCAGGAGAAGATAAAGTGCAGGCAGTGAATTGGCCCAGTGATCCCTGAGGAAGTTGTAGCCCAACATTGAATCATATAAGATTATGCCTGCTCGTTACCTCACATCTCACTCAAGTATGGGACACAATATTCCACAGAGCTCATGCAAAGGTATGCAGTCACTACGGAGTTGATTGTTCCTTTTCTATTTTTGTGAAAAGTGAGGCAATTTTGGTTTGCCTCTGGTAGACAGTACACATGGGATTAATCAGACTGAAATTTTATATCAGCCAGGATCCAGGAGGTAAGTGGCTGCTCAGTGTAACTGCCCAGATCTGGAAAGGCCACATCAGCAAGTTGCAAACTGCGTTGCTCAGTGATCAAAGAACAGGTTTTGCTTTTTTGTTCCAATGGATTTTTTTTGAAAAAAAATGACACTGATGATGAGGATTAATTCCTCGTTTATTTCAAGAGCATCTCTGTCACCGATGAGCCAGGCGGGGCTGCGTTGTCATCAGCAGTGCCCTGGAATACTGTGGACCAGCCTGGTTCAGATGGCTGGCTCAATTCCGACATTCAGTTGCCAAGCATGTCATCTTGGGAGCCAGTTCAGCTCCAAGGAGACCCGGCTTATCCCCCCCCCCAAGTCAGCGATAGCCCAGGGCACTGCTGATGACAGTAAAGCAAGCCTGAGAGCAGCGTTGGCTCGGCTGTTAAAAACATTATGACTTCGGGATCAGAAAGTGGTGGATTCAAATCCCCCATCAGGGACTCGAGCTGATAGCACAAGCTGGCCTTGCAGTGAAAGAGCTGCTGCCCTCCTGTTCAGATGGACGTTAAAGGTCCCACAAAAGTATATGAAAAGAAAAGAATTTCTCCCAGTGTCCTGGCCACAAACCTTTAGAATAGTCAGACATTCACCTCATTACTATTTGCAGGACCTTGCTGGTACAAATTGCTGTTTTTCCCTAGGGAAAAAGTCACTACATTAAAGAGAAATTAATAATAATCCTAAAATTTAATGCTGTGTATTTTACACTGATTTGTATCCTCCTTATAAGAACATAAGAAATGCTAGACAAAAAAAGACGGAAGGTGCATCTAAAGTTTGCCTTCTACCTTCCCGGCAGTCGCATGCACATATGTTCCGACCTACCTATGTACTATATCCCATGATGTTATTTCCTAAAAGAAAACTATTTCTTCTGCTTCAACCATCTCCCTAGGCTGCCTGTTCCACAGGTTCACTATATGCTCACTGAAATAGTGTTTGCTTAGATTTGTTCTGAATTTTCCCCCCTTCAATCGCAGGCCATGTCCTCTGGTTTTACTATTCTGGACAAGTTGAAACAGCCTGTCATGATCTACATTGGATTGCCCCTTTACAATCTTAAAGATAGCAATCATGTCTCCTCTCAATCTACTCTTTTCAGTGTGAACATGCCCAATTTACTTAGTCGCTCCTCATAGTCCAATCCTTCCATTCCCTCAACCATTTGGTTGCCCCTCTGTATCTTCTCAATTTCTCCAATATCCTTTTTGTACTGTGGCAACCAGAGCTGTACATAGTACTCTTAAGTATAGTCTCACCAATGATGTATACAGTGGCAGGATTACCCCACTATTTTGGCTTTCTATTGATCTTTTGATACATCCCAACATCTGGTTTGCTTTACTCACTGACACAGAGCATTGTTGGGAGAGCTTCAATTTATTGTCAATTAGGACCCCGAGGTCATTTTCAACACATATTATTTTCGTTCCGTTCAAATAAAAGTCCCTTATGAAGGGTGTTTCGGAGTTCACTGTTAAGTGCAGTACTGTGTTTTGTAGGTGAACACAGCAATGTCCCATAAACAGCCATGGAGTGAGTGATCATTTTTATCTGGGAGATTGTTGGCCAGGACACTGGGAGAAAACTTCCTTCTCTTTTCAGATAGTGACATGGAATCTTTAACACCTGCCTGAACAGTGATTGAGGATCTCGATTTTACATCTCATTTGAAGGACCGCATCTTTGACAATGCAGCACTGCAGTGGAGTGTCAGCCTAGACTGTGATTTCAAAGTTTTGATGTAGGGCTTGAAACCACAACCAACTCAGAGGTGAGAGTGCTACCAATCGCTGACATCTGATGCATTGTGAAATGCTTTAAGTTGTTTTTAATGTAATCTGCTGTACAGCAGTTTTGCCTTTTTCTAATGGGAGAATTATTCTTTTTATTTCAAACGTAAGAGAATGAGCCAATTAAGAGTGAGACTTGAGCGCTGAATCCACCACTGAACGGGAGGAAGCCAGAAGTCGTCAGTTTCAGCATGTCCACCTTGTGTGTAACAGTTAACATAGAAAGTGTTTGAAAATATAGGAAGATTCAGTGCTCACGTCTACCACCAAATGGACAAATTCATTGTTTACTCACTTCTGTCTCTGCTTCCCCTCCACCCCCCACTTTCCAAGAATGCCTGTGATTTTTCCCACTGGTTCATGCAATGGGTGAAGAGATCATTTGGACATGTTCATGCTCTCTATAGTACGCACCGGAGTATTCGGGGAAGCAGATGGCCAGCGGGCTTTTGGTGATCTTCTCTTCAAAGAGATCTTTCTTGTTGAGGAAGAGAATGATGGAGGTGTCAGTGAACCACTTGTTGTTACAGATGCTGTCAAACAGCTTCATGCTCTCGTGCATGCGATTCTGGAACAGAGAGAAGCCCAGTTATTCCCCTCCGCCCGGCCTGAGGCCCAACCACCCAACCCCATTTTTGCTCAGTTCCTTATCCTCCAGCTGATCAACTTTCAGGTCCTCAATTCCCGTTCATGACCCTATCATCATCATCACTTCCTGCAACCCTGGACCCAGAGTCCCCCTCTCCACTCTCCATCACTGGCCTGTGAATAGTCGGATATTTGTCTCTCCCTGGAACTCTCTCTGGATATCCTTGTATCCTTCCCTCTCTTCACAAAACAATTTGAGGCATTCTCCCAACAGGAAGGTACTATAAGAGTGAAAACTTCCAGATGTTGGGATGTAAGAGTGAAAACTGCTATTGTTGTGGATTAAAATGTTGTCATTAATTTTTTGGGGGTCAGAACACATCCAGAAACCCATCACCATGCTTAAGAAACCAACCTGAGAATTTCAGGCTTCCCATCTATGCATGGAAATTCCAGAGACACATTGTTGGAATGGGATGCATCTCTCCCTGGAGGGACATCTCCTACTTACCTAATTCCAGAAAGTATTAGGGGCAGGTTGGCAAAAGCCAAGGCTTGGGGACCCCACAGTATGCATTGGGATAATGCTGGAGTCTAACTTGCTAAAACCGCATGGCTTGCCATTGATATCACTAGCAAGCTTTCCCACTGTTTGTCCAGCTAGGACCACCCTATCCATTAGAGCTTTGGCTTGCCATTGACATTAAGATAAATGACTCTGTAAATTCGCAATCTGAAAGATTCTGCAACCCTGAAGTCAGAAGCACCAGTAATGTTTTAATGTAAATATTAGTGTGCCCTGTAATGATTTCAGCACCTTTCCCTTCCTTCCCTCTTTCACTCACCATTTCCTCATCCTCCGCCAGAACCAGGTCATAGGCACTGAGCGCAACACAGAAGATGATAGCAGTAACTCCTTCAAAGCAATGGATCCACTTCTTTCTCTCCGATCTCTGGCCACCAACATCAAACATTCTGAAAAGAATTAAAAGGCAGATTAGTGTGACCAATGCCTTTGACAAATTCCTCAGCTTGCAGAAGATTCTGATCATAAAATGCAATTGGAACTCTGACTCTAGACTGCTGTTACCCTAATAAATGTTCCTGTAACTGAGACTAACCAGAAAATACCCAAGTGAGTGACTAAGCAACTGCTGGATCAAGTCCAGCCTCACTAATGGTCAGACTGATCATGCCTCACACCACAACGGGAGGACTCTGCAGCCACTGATACCCCAGCTCCTCCCCCATTGTGTGTGTGTGTGTGAGAGAGAGAGAGAGCCCAGATATACAGGGCAGCCGGGCATCACAACCAGGCCTATTGTTAAATTGTTAACCAGAAGAAACTCCCTTCACATTATGAATAGCCATGGGATCCTTAATATCCACCTGGACAGGCAGAGATGGCCTCGGTTTAGTATCAACCAAAGGACGTCTTTGAGACATCTCTAAGATGTGATAAGGCGCTATATCAAGGATTATTATTATTATGGACAGCACCTCCAACATTGCAACACACCACCAGGACTGTACTGGGGTGTCAGACTACACGAGTTCCAATTCCCAACATGGAGTTTGCACCCACAACCTGTTGGCTCAGAAATGAGAGTGCTATTAAATGAGCCAGGATACCCCCACACCCTTGCCTCACCCTATCTCTACGGCTCTCTCTCTCTGCTCTGAAAATCTGAGTTTGTCACATATCCCCAGAGCTGCGTCCCCCCCCAAATCGTTCGCTGAGCCTTCTCCCCTTTCTCTGGAACTCTCTCTGTAAACACAAATTCAGTTTTCAAAATACACATCGAAACCTAACTCATTGACCTTGCCTTTAATCATGTTTCTCCCACCCCCAGCTCCCACTCAGTCTTTGTCAAAGATCTTTGAGACATGGAAGGTGCTATGTAAGTATGGCGGCTGCTGACAGGTTTAATATTGCTACACAGAGAACTCCTGAATTCAGCCACTGTGTGCACTGCAAGGCAGAATCGAGGGGTCAGGGGGCTTCTGGGGGTGTGGGGGGCTTTGAGGGGTTACAGAGAAATCAGGGGCTTCACTAAAGAAAGAAGCAATGACTATGTGATATGAAGTGAGAAGCCAGCAGATGTGAGGGCAAACGCTGTCAGTGAGTGAGATTCTATCGCAGCACCATTTCTCAAAGGAATCACATACCAAGCACAGCTGAGTTGACAGAAATGTTGACAATAAAGAATCCTTATTTGGCATCAGTTACACAAAGTATTTGTAGCTAGTATGACTTAAGCTTTCAGAACCACGTCTCCTCCCTCCGCATTTCATTTTGGACTGTCAGATTCACAGGCAATGTTCTTTTCTCAAAACGCTTTGAGACATCTTAATGATGTGATAAGGCACTGAATCAAATGTAAGTATTATTATTTTCCCACTAGCAAACAATTACCAAGCCCAGAACAACATGGAATCTCGCTAGCCGGTTTGGTGGGAACGTTGATGAGTTCACGTCAACAAATTCCGTTTGACGTGAACTGACAACATTCCCAAATATTCCCTAACCCTAATTGACGATTCTCAAAACAAAGTGCTTCAGAAGCGCGTTGAACCACACTTTCCATCTCTCCTCTGTCAATCTAAATCCAGCACCATGCCACCACAATGATTTTGTTTTGGATTTGCAGAGTGAGAGTGGGGAAATTGCCAGTGAGCACTGATGCTGATGGGTGGAGTAAAGCAATCCGCATCACGCAACTGAGTTTTGGTGCAAAAGGCTCCAGGTTGACAGAAGCTCAGATTACAGATCTCATATGGATGGTGCTGTCCTTTCGATGCGCTGTTAAACCAAATCACCAGCCAACTTCTCAGGTGAATGTTAAAATAAACCGCGGTGCTATTTATCAAGAGAAGGGAGCTTCTCCCTGGTGTGTGACCAACCAATTCTCTAAAGAAATTGGTCATTCACTTCCCGGCTGTTTGTGGGGCGTTGCTGGGTGTAAATTGGCTGCAACGTCCACCTACAAATAAACAGTCGCCACACTTGCATTTGATACAGCACCTGTAATGTGAATGTCCTGGGGAATGATGCAAGGATTATTATATTATTGAAAGGCATTTCAATTTCTTTCAACTCTCTATGTAAAAATATTTATTTTAACCTCCCCCTTCTTCCTTTGGTGTTCGTCAGATAATCCACTGACTCTGCTGCTGATGTTGTGTGTCATCTAATACCGACGGCCTGTTTCAGCCATATGTGCAACCCTGCAGGAGACTTTTGACACTGAGGCTGGCTTGGACACAGGCCAAAGACAATCTGAGCAGCTCAAGACACAGTTCAGCACAAATCATTCTGCTTCGTCTGTAGTTTTATCAAACTTCTCAAGGTGATTAAATTGCCAAAAATCTTCCAAGGGTGGAGACTCTGATTACAAACCATTTGAGGGATTGGCCTTGCTTCATCCCAGATTTAGTCCTGCCCAAATTTTCTCTTTTGCTTCTCCAGAGTTTATCACAATTGCTCTCAGTGCTCACTGGAGACCGTTTGAATACTGGGTTTAATCTTCATTTAATAATCAATAATATTAATCATTGCATTTGGTTTTAATGCCTTTCACTTCGGGAAGTCGTCTCAAATTGCTTCACAGGATTTAATGTGAAGTGTAGTGACTGTTTTTGTAGGTGAATGCGGCAGTCAATTTGTGCACAGCGACGCCTCACAAACAGCCATGAAGTGAATGACTCATTTCTTCTGGGGCCAGGAGACCAGGAGAAGCTGAAACAAGTTCGGAGCTATGGAGTTTCTTAAAAATTTTGCCGACCCCCTCAGTAGGGTAGCTATCTAGCTCCATAGGTGCGGTCAATGTCCCTCTTAAGATAGCTGATGATTGTGAGCGAGGCCCATGTTAATGTATCCAATCTCCCAATGGAGCACTGGTATTCCATAATTGGAAAACGTGCCTCCCTCAAATCTCCTCCCTCCCCCCCGGCACACAGACTCATGCACCCGCACACTTGCACTTAGGCACACGCAAACACTCACACACAGCGGTGTATACACACACAGACACACACACACACACACGCTCACACAAGGTTGTGAAGATCACATCCTTCACGATTAGGCTGGCTGATGAGGTGCCAGAATTTTCCAGACTGACTGTGACTTGTGCCCTTAGCCATTTGATTACCACCGTGCAAGACGTTTGACCGCATAAACTGGGAATATCTGCTTGGAATGTCACTGTCAGTGGCATTGAAATCCCTCAGATTGCCAAATCTGAATTGCTGGACACTCAACTCTTTGATGACTTAATCCTCAAGACTGAGATCTGCCTGCAACATGTGCAGACCTTTGTTCTGGAGTCCCAATGCTCCAACTACAATGTAAATAAAATGCTTGTCCAGAATTGTATCTTCCATCTCCCTTAAGACCGGGCATGTAAATGAAAGGATTGTCTCTGGAAGATGTGTGGCTACATGACTCAGGCTTGTTCCCCAGGGGTAGTGACAACTCACCACGAATTGATGGGCGAGTGCCCTGCTCAGCCTTAGTCTTAACATTAGGGGCACAGCACGGTAAGACACGGCTCCGTTCTGTCATTGTTTTTGAGCCCTCACTAAGTGGATGGTAGGTACCAGGAACTCCCTGCGAGCTTCCTAGCGGGCAACATAGCTCAGCATGGATTCTTCCCATTCAGCTTCCAAAGCCAAAGCAAGTCAAACTCTAACGAGTAGGTAGGTCCTAGCGGGAAAGCTTGTCAAACAGTGCTCTCAATGGCAAGCTATGCGGTTTTAGCTGGTTAGAATAGTCCAACACCTTATGGGGTCCCCAAGCCTTGGTTCTGGATAACCTGTGCCTAATACTTTATGGAATTGGGTAAACAGGATGCTTCCTTCAGGGAAAGCATTCCATTCCAACAAATATTTCTGGATTTTACATGTACAGGTGCACGCTTGGAAGGGCAGGACCATAGCATCTTCCCTGGAAACCACAGGTCCTCGCTGCAGGTTTGCCTTCAACCAACGTTTATTCAGGAAAATTACAGTGAAACAACTTTTGCCTTTCAGGCAAAGCAACTTTTGCCTTTCAGGCAAAGCTCTACAATAGTGCAATCCTGAGCATGGTTGGAAGTAGAAGCATAGACGAGAGCTGGTGAAGCCTGGTTGAAACGGAGGTTATGTTTTCATAACAATAATAATCCTTGCATTTGATAAATCGCCTTATCGTGGCATTGAGACGCCTCAAAGTCCTTCCCAGAATATATTGTAAAGTAGATTGACTGTATATTTTGTGGGTGAAACCCAGCAGTCAATTGCACACAGCAATGCCCCACAAACAGCCACAGAGTGAACGACCAATTTTATTTTGGGGGATTGTTATCTAGGACACCAGGTGAAACTTCCGTCTCTTTTCGAATGCCGTGGGATCTTTAACATCCATCTGAACAGGCAGATGGGGCCTTGGTTTAACATCTCACCCGAAGGACTGTACTTCCAATGCAGTGCTGGGGATGTGTTGCATTGTCTGAGTGTCAGCTTAGATTGAACCCACAACCTTCTGACTCAGAGACAAGAGTGTTACCACAGCGCCAGGCTGACACACTATTTTGAAAGCAGAGAGGTGAAGTGTAAGCACACAGAGAGATTTAAGGAGAGAATTCCAGACTGTGGGGTCTTTGATGCTTCAGCAGCAAATTGGGGGGGCGGAAAAAGGACAGAATTTACAGAATAAGTTAACGTCGTTCTTTCACGTCAGGAGGACATCTCAAAGCGCTGTGCAGGATTCACTGTAAAGTGTAGTGACTGAGTATTTTGCAGCCAAATTGCACACTGCAATGTACCACAAACGTCCCTGAAGTGAATGATGTATTTCATTTTTGTTTGGTCAGCCCGACACATGCGGAAACCCACCATCGTGCTTAAGAGTAACCAAACTGAAAATTCCATGCATCCCACCTACACATGGAAATCCTAGAGAAAGATTGTTGGTATGGAATGCGCTCTCTCTCCCTGGAGGGTCGCATCCTGCTCACCTTAGTACCCAATTATTAGGCACAGGTTGGTAAGAACCAAGGCTTGGGGACCCCAAAGTAAGCGTTGGGGTACTGCTGGAGTCTAACCACCAAAAACCACATAGCTTGCCATATCTGGAGATTATTGGAAGGACAACGAGAAAGCTTGAGAGAGAGAAACTCCTTTCTCTTTTCCAAAAATTCTATTGCTAAGGTAGTAGAGTACAGGCCAGGATAGGTGGACATGGAAAACTCAGAACAAGGATGTTGAAGTCGAGATGCTGGAGATGTTGCATTAACTTTCAGGGAATAACCATCCTATAAACAAGATTTGCTTTTACCCACCAAATACCTCCACAATTAAGGCAAGCTTACTTGAAATGCAGGTCCTTAAAGGTGAAGTGGGTCTCTACAATGCCAGTTGTCTTGACTCTGGTTCGTAGCAGGTCTTGGTCTGTCGGGATGTAATCGGATTGCGATATCCTCTCCAGATCATTCAGGTAACTGCAAAGGAGGCAACAGCTTAGTAATTAGCCAGTTCTCTGAATCCCAAAGCAAACCACATCACTATCCCAGCATCCCATTTTAACTGCAACACAGCTAGACACAACAAGAGGCTCCTCGCTCTCCAGGCTGCAGCCACTTTCTGGTGGGGGGCGGGGGGGTGAGAGAGATGGTGCTATTTCTGCTCAAGTGTGCGTGCTTTGCTCCCTACCCACAGCATTGTTGTCCAAAGTGCAATGACTGCCCACAACATGACCCGGAAACCTCCTGACATCAATCTAGCAACTTTTTAAGTGATTGCCAAAGAAGGATTAGCTGGGAGAGAGGAGAGCTATCCAAGCCTTCCCTTCTGCTTTGAAAGTTTGCCAAAACTACAAACGTTTCTTTGGGGGGGGGAAGCGGGTTGTTGTTCCAATCGAATGTTGGAAAATCTTGGTTTTGTATCTTGTCGTGAGAAATAATGTCTTATTGCAGAGACGAACAGCTGGAGAGCTCTGAGGTACAGTGCACTTCATTTCCTCTGGGGGAACTCATTATAACTTATTATAACTTGCCACATACTCATGTGAAACATCTCTTTAACTGATAAGTGGCAGTACAGAGCAGTGTTGGGGTTTTTTTTGCTGAGCTTTTCCAAGCCAGGCTGTATAAAAGGCAGAACCTCAAAGCCTCAGCTCAGTCACAAACCATCCTCCATGGTGCAGCTGTGAGGACTGCAGCTTTGTTCCTGTGTCCAAATCCGATCGTTAATAATAATAATAATACTTGCATTTGAAACACAGCAGTCAATTGTGCATAGCTAAGATAATTTAAAACAGTTAAGATTCTGATAATTAAAGTAATTTAAAATAGTTAAAGTTCCAAGTCTCGGAACGCTTGGAAATTGCGGCTGCACTTGCTGTCACTAATACAGATTCTCTGCGGACATTCCCCGAATCAAGGGAGCATGGAGAACTTACTCCACATCCCTGAGAACCAGCAGGGCTGAGATTTACAGCGTTCGCAGGATTCCGTCCCAACCATAATCCGTATTGAACGACCGTGCCCCTATTTGATCCCATCGGGATTGTGCATTCCCACTGTACAACAATTCTTGCCCAGGCAGAACGATAAACAAGACTAGGGAAACTGTGCTTTATAGTAAAAACAATATTGGGGAAGGAGGTGGAGTGGGAACAGAGAAACCTTGGAGCGTGTAAGGGGAGAAACCACATGGGGGAAACAAAATTAAAATAAAATTCACTAAAATAAAATTGGTCATTCACTCCTGGACTATTTGTGGGACACTGCTGTTGCCAATTGGCTGCTGCGTTCCGTCCACAAAATACACAGTCACTACACTTTACAGTATATCCTGTGAAGAGCTTTGAGACATTTCCACAATGTGATGAGGCGCGATATCAAATGTATAATTATAATCTTTCCCAAGAAGCGTTTGGTGGAAGCTCACACGTGGGCAGGTGCTCCCACAGTGATAAACTGAAACAATAAACAGTTATTGTAAACTGTCCATCCAGCCGCCTGCTTAAAACAGTGGAATGTGGCAGAAATATTGTCGACATGAACCTGGAGAGAGGTGTGGGAGTGCAGGGGGGAAATACCTCATTCCTTAAACTGGGCTGTGGCTTATGGTCACGTAGCAGATTGGAGGGGATGCTGGCATGTGTACGTAGATGGGTGAGGCATTTATCAAGCCTCTGGAGTCTGATTAAAATTAACAGGCACCTTATCGCTGAGTGCACGTCTGACCTCTGCTTGGGCCCCCAGGTCAGAGCTACGTGTGCAGACACACTCGCTGCAGGGGAACGACGACCCAGTTCATCCCATGGAAACATAGGGAATGGGAAAAGGATCGAGTGAGAGCATTTAAAGCTGTGGCTGGTCTGTTTACTCTTCGTGGGGCTGCTCAGCTCTGGTTTATCCGCAGCAAGGCGATACTCCCTTGGCCCGCCCCCGGCAAGCTCCTCACTTGTTTATTTTTACAAAGTTGCATCCTGCTCTCGCCGAACAGCAGCAGAGCTGGAGCTGTGCCACACTGCGAGTTTTGCTGGAGGCAATTTGGAAATGGGGGCGATCAAAGAGGGTCTTGAGGCGGGCATGCAAGATGGAGGGGGTAAGGTGAAGGACTGTAGGATGGAATTCCTGAGGGTGGAGCAGAAAAGCTGAAGGCCCGACAGCTAATGGTGAGACGGGCAGGGCAGGGGACATGGACCTGGCTAGTGCCCGCTGAGTGGAGGAAGCGGACAGGTTGGTACGGGAATGTCTCTTTCACACAGAGACAATTCGACCACAGAATCACGAGGCCGTCGCAAAAGCAGACATCCCAAGGCAACCCGCACAAACACAAAAGCACACATTCACACGGGGGAGCATCGGAGTGATTAGCAAACCGTCATTAGAAACTTTCAGCGCTTCCACTACCCAAGCAATGCTGGTCATCCTACGTAAGAACCCTTGCATTTGATAAGAGTGCCTTACTACGTGGTCGGGCTGCTCAATATGCTTCACAGCATTTACTGTAAAATGGAGCAAGTGTATTTGAAGATGAACCAACAGTCAATTTGAGCGCGGCAATGTCCTACAAAGAAACTTTCACAAACTTCTTTCTCTTTCTGTGCAATCACCATAGAGACAGCCAGACCTTGGTTTAATATCTCAGCTAACTGTGACAATGCAGCACACCCCTAGCACTGCACTGGAGTGTCAGCAGAGATCGAGTTCAAAGTCCTGACGGGGGACTTGAACCCCCAAACACCTGACTTACAAAAGGGATACCAACTGAGCCAGGCTGACAAATACAAAACAATTTGTACTTATATGGAACCTTTCACTTCAGGAGGACATTTCAAAGCACTTTGGAAGCAGAAACGAGAAAAAGTTCTGGAGAAAAGTTCAGCTTCCAATAGCATCAATCTACCGTTAGTATCACTCTTGCCTCTGAGTCAGAGGTTGTGGGTTCAAGCCCATGTCTGGACTTGAGCTTCTAGTGCAGGCTCTAAGGATTGAGTTGAGGCAGCATCTGTTCATTTGGATGGATTAAGATGCTGAAAGTCTTCAAAAGAGAATGGCATGTCCTCGCCAACTCCCCTCCAGATAAATAGGTCATTCACTTTATATTGTGTGCAGAGCCTTGCTGTGTGCTACTAGGCTGTCACATTTAACAATTACATTTGACTGCAATTCAATGAGAGACATTGACAGGTTATATCAAACACAAGCAAACTCTGAGAAGCGGTCAGAGACATCTCAACAAGGCGCTGGGTCAAATTCAAGGATTATTATTATAATCAGTATCACACAATAGAAATTGGGATAATACATCCTAATGTTTCGTAGTCATTTTGTCACAAGGGTTTTCTGGAAGTGAGAGAGAGGCTATGCTGGGGGAAGGGGGAGAGGAGGAAAGGAGAGAGAATCAAAGAAACATAGAGGAGAAGGGAAGGAAGGAAAGGGAAGGAAAAGGGAGAGAAAAAGAGAGAGAAACAAAGTGAGGGAAAGGAAAATAGAGAAAGAAAAGAGAGGGGTGGGGGCGGCGAGAGAGGGGAGGGGGAGAGAAAGGGGGGGAGAGAGAGGGGAAAGAGTAGAAGAGCACGGAAAAAATAAGAAATTATATTGCTATTTGTTTGAAAGAAGAGCAATTAAGTGACATTGAAAAGCTGCATTCACTAAAAGAAAAATATATTGATTAAGTTCACGCTGGTGATGTTCTCTCTCCACGAAAACCCACCAACTTTAAACACTTCAATAAAGCATCCAGCAGGCTTCTTTACATCGCACCAGATTCATCCTTCCCGTTTCACACTGAGCAACAGCACGCCATTAACATCGCTTCAGAGCACTGTGCCCAACCTCTCATAAATTGGGCCTATGCTTCACTGCATCCAAAAATACACAAAGCATTTCACACACCTCTGCCAAAACTGTTCACAACTTAGATTCTCTCCTAATCCTTCCCCCCTAAGCTCTCACAATCTGGTCCCATTTCCTGACGAGTTCTGCTAACATCACCCTATAAATATCACTCGTTATACATCGTTCATCTACAAATAGTCACTACATATTCCAGTGATATCCAAAAATTGCTGCGAGAAGTGTTTGAAGACGTGGTGAAGAACTGTATCAAACACAAGGACTGACCCCCACCCCCTCAGCTGTTTCACTGAGCGGTGGGACGGGATCCTCACACAGTCTCCAAACTGGGAATATTGTGGAGCCGGTGAATAGCTGCCAGTGTGTGCTCAGGCTCATCTGTGGACTTTGGAGAGGGATTAAACGGGCTAGGTTATTAAACTACCCCCAATAAGCAGTCTTTGTTGCCATTTGTGGGATGGTGTGTAAACAAATTGTCTGCCGCGTTTACCTATAAAATATAGTCACCACATCTTACAGTCAATGTAGCAAAATGCCTTGTGATATTTCAATGACATCAGGTGCAATATCAAATGTTCACAATCATTATTTGAACTAAATGTAAAACAGGTCCCAGGGAAACTTGGTCCTGCCGTGCCTCATTCCATCCCGCCCCCCCCCCCCCCCCATTCCTCTCTCCTGCAGGAGAATCTGATCTCCACTCAGTGCCACTGCAGCAGCAGAGCTGGGATCAGAAAGTCTCGAGACCACGCCCCTGCCTCAAGCCGATACATCACATCAATCAGATACACCAGACACTGTTGTACACGACACTGTTTCTGCTAACCTGATGTTTTTGCTCAAATGTGGTTCATTCCCAAGAAGCAAACATGAACAAAAGAAAAGGTTTATTTAGAAAACTCAATCTTCAACCTGCAGATCGTATCCCTTCAACACTAAACACAGGGAGAGGAGCCACTGAAATACATCTCTCTGAGACGGAGAGATAGTTGCTAGGGGTTGGTTGACTTTGGCCCCTTCAATCCCTCTTCTGAACTCCACAGGAGAGCCTGAGCACATACTGTTGTACACAAGCTAGTTATTCACCAGTTCAATAATATAATAATAATCCTTGCATTTGATATAGCACC